CAATTGTATAATTATAACGCATCGGATATTTAAAAAAATTAAACAACATATAGTCAGCGCTGACGTCATGCTAAAGTACAATTGTTTCTAATCGTACTGTTGTGTGAGCCTACGTGGTAAAGGAATTAAATTTTATAAAAATTCGAAAACACTTACTTTTTAATAAAAATGTAGAATGTATAATTTGACTGAGCAGTAATTAATACAATAAAACGTTAATTCTTAATATTAATACAAATATATGTAAAACTTTTTATAAAAGTTTTGGCGACATCATAAAATCGTTATTGTTCGTGCAGTAACGAAAACAATAATAATTGTATTTTGCATTGAATAATATTTTCTAATTTAGTAATTTTTGTTATTTTCCTATACTACGGCCTCTAATTGTACATTACTTGTAGCGTGACAAATAATTTCTTAATTAAATTAGTATATTTTAATTTTCAATAATAGTATACACATATTACACAATGTTACCTAGTATTATTAATTTCATTCCTGAATACTTCACTCACTTGCTAACTATAAACTTATTATGATATTCAAGCAGGTGCTAGGTGGTTGCTAAATTAATTTGGGTATGCCGATGAATTGTGATTGTTTTCTTTCGTTTTGAATTATCTTACAAATAGATACTTATCTTTTTTTTAATAACTCCAAAGTACTTTTCTAGTTATTTTTCATAATTTAAATATGAGACCGGTCTGTAAACAACGTTTTGTTGTCTGGGAGCATTTAAAGAAAAATACTGATTATAAAACTGTTACGTGTCAAGTATGTAAAATAAATTTTACGGAAACACAAATAACTTAGAAAGTAAGTACTATTATTTATAACCATTCAATAAGGGTTTCCAGAAATACATAGGTATATGGAATTATATAATTTTAACTTCTTAAATTTATTATAGAGCATTTAAAACGTATACATCCAACCAAACTTAATGCCACCTCTAATAATGACAATGATTCAGATAACCAATTAATAGAAACTCCCGAAAATACATCTAGTTCTTCTACTTTTGCAATTTTTTCTATTTTATCATCTCAACATTTAACTTCAACGAAATTTTCTGAACTACCATCCAAACGGCCTCGTCAACTAATACTTTTTGTTTCGAAAAAAATGAATGAGGTAACTGATTCTGAAATTAAGGCTATTAATAAATCTTTGACTAAAATTATTGTTGCTGATTACCGTCCACTCTAGTTGGTAGAAAACGTTGGATTTTTAGAGTATAGTAAAAAATTACAACCACTTTATTCTGTCCCAAGTAAAAAATTATTAACCTCGGAATTACTGCCACGAAAATATATTATTATAATCCATGAAATAAAATCTATTCTTCACAAAATAATTGATTTATCAATCACGGCAGATATGTGGACATTTCATTGCAATAAATCATATATAACAGTGACGTGCTATTTTATGAACCTACCTATAATATTTTATTTTTTATGACAAATTATATTCACCAGTAATTGCAACTAAAGAAGCTTTTGGCAGTCATACTGGTCAAAATATAACCGCTACACTTACAAATATTTTTAATGACAGGGATAGAACACAAAAAAATAATAACTGTGTTATCTGATAATGGATCTAATATTAAAAATTGTATTAACGAATACCTAGTTAAACACTGTCGCCTATGTGTGGCACACACATTAAACTTCAGCATTAATGAGGCGATAAATGAAAATACTTATATTTACCAAATTTTAAGCAAATTAGGATAATAGTAAGGCATTTTGAGCACAGTAGCTATGCGACTAGAAAATGTAAAGATTTCCAATTACCGATGAATTTACCTTCATTAAAAGTTAAACAAGATGTGACCACAAGATGGAATTCTAGTTTTATAATAATGGAAAGACTTATAAAAATTAAAATCCTTTTATATGCCGAAGTCCAAATTGTTTAAACGCGTCTGAGTGGGAAATAATACTTGATTGTACTAATATTTTGAAGCCGTTTGAATTAATGACAATAGAATTATCAGTTGAAAAGTATCCGACCTTAAGTATGGCTATACCACATATTAGAGGTGTTCAACATATTTTAAAGAATTTGAAAACAGAAATTGATATTTGTTTGGATTATTCGAAAATGCCAACAATATGCAAAAATGGGTAAGATAAGAATTAACAGCGATGATTACTAACAATACTGAAGAAGACGAAATAAATACAACTGAATGTGCGACAGAACTCACGTCAAATATTAATTCATTATGGGAGTATTTCGATAGTAAAGTGGAAAATGTCAAAACTACACAGAGTCCAAGTGTAATTTTGGCTTTGATTATATAAGTCAATATTTGAAATGACATCTTTGGATCGGAAAAAATCTTTGGAATTTTGGAAACAGCGCAGAGACACATTTCCAGATTTGTATAATATGCAACTGAAATATTTTTGTATTCCAGCTACATCAGAAATTGTATTTTTGATAACAAGTTATATCACAAATGATCGCAGGAACCGGCTATCTACGAAAAATTTAGATTATATAATTTTATCTTCGATTCGATACTGAGAAGGTATTAATTTTAAATTATGTGTTTTTTTTTATTATTTTTTGTGTCTGTTATCACTTTTTCTCAACTCTCACCGAACCGATTTCTTTCAACTATACGTCAAAAGATCACAAATCATATCTAGTCGAAGACATTATCCTCAACAATTTTAAACATTTTCCTCGTTCCCCGTAAATGTGGAAAATCTCCAAAAAAATTACAAATTTAAAAATTGCTAACATTTTAAATTTTTTTTACTTAAAATTGCCATAACTTTTTTAAAAATTATTAAATCAATATGATTTTTTTTTATAAATACATGAGATATTTACCTATCATTTTATATTCTTTTTTATAATTTTGACCCTTTACCTGCCCACGGAAAGGGGATTCAAAATGACAACTTTTTCATAAAAAAATAACTTTTCAACTTAACTCTTGAAAGTGTTCCAAAAATACTGATACTTTTATATATATATAAATAAAGCTAATTTAATGTAATTTATTATGAAAAAAAATATAATAATAATAATGATATTATTATTATTATTATAATAATCATTATAATTTTATAATGATAAGTATTATTTATATATTTCTTTCATTCGACATACTTTATTTTTATTATTATTATATACAATTATTCGTGAAGATCAGAATTTTTTTAGTACTTTACGAGTTTGTAAAAATGTTAAATTAATAAAAAACTTTCAATGTCGCCAGCGTTTGTTGACATAGGATCTGAAATTTTTACCAGACTTCAGTCAAAAGTCAGTCTAGAGCTACTCTAAAAATTATTTTGTAATATGTGCAGTTTGGATCATGTTGTGACATCTTATTTTAGTTCCTGCACACAAATTTAACTAATTGATCTATTAATTAATGCGAATACTTTATAATCGTTACAGTTTTTACAATATCTATTTACTCCATATACTTCATATATACTATTTTTTATTTGGAATTTTTATTTAGTTTTATAAAGAAAAATTAAATTTTATTTAATACATCATTAATTATCTTTTTATAATATGTTTTATTTTTGTAAAAAGTATAAATAAGTTTTATGAAACCAACTCAATCATATAATATTTCATTTAAAATACTTAAATGTTCATTTAAACAAAATTTTATAAATAATTATACTGGTCTTTGCCTTAAAACCACCTGCCAGTATCTGCTGTAGCCAAGTACTTATGCCGGAATCACTGTACTTCCACAATCACCGCCCTAGGGCCTAACATACCAAAGGCACGTGGTGAATTTTAGAATCTGAGGTGGAGTCCCAGCTAACGAGAGCGCAGTATGAAAATTAAAATAGTTAACAATTTTTAAAAACTCTTGTTTTGTTTTTATAGCTTAATAAATCAAATAGAATTAATTTATGTAGAGTAGAATAACTCGATAATTATTATCAGGGGGATGTTAGGGCGAAGCCTACACGTTAGCTAGTTTAGAATTTGAATTGCGCAGCTGACAAAAATCATGTAATTATACCTTGTTTTCTTTGTACTAAAATAAATCATTTTTTTTAAATCAAATTATATCATGATAGATGATTATAATATAGATGATATGGTTTTAGAGAAAAGAATGAAGCTGGTGAAAGAATCAAGGATTTCGCAGTATCCTATGATCTTGCTATGGATATTTCTTATTTTAGAAATAGAGAAGAACAGTATATAACTTATAAGAGTGGGAGTAATAGATCACAGATTGATTATTTGATGTGGAAGAGAGAGAGAACGTAAAGCAAGTAAAAGATTGTAAAGTTATCCCAGGCAAGAGTGTTGTGAAAACTTCACAACATAGACTGATGGTAATGGAGTTGTGGTATAGTAGAAAGAGAATATACAAATACAGAAAAAACACAGGAGAAAAATCGAGGATTCGGTGGTGGAAATAGCAAGGAGAAAGTGGAAAATAGTTTTTAAAGACGGTAAAAGAGGTGGAAAAGTGGAAGTTTAGGATAAGCATGGCCGATGATCCCATGTATTTGGGATTAATGCGTGGAAAAAGAAGAAGATGAAAGTTTAAATAATAATGTTATGATTGATTTCAGTTTTTGATAATGTATCGATTTTTTTTAATTGCTGTTCAAAAAATATTAAAAACTATTAACTATTAGTTTTTATTAACATTTTTTATTTTAGATTTATGTGTAAATCTATGACTAATTATTTAACAAAAAAAAAAATTTTTATGTTGCTGTAATCAAAAATGATATAGACTTTAACTTTAGATGTTTTATCAAGTGTTGTTTCAAATTTAGTGTAACACATAAACAACACAATAAATCTAGTTCATCTTTGGATTGCAATATAGTAATATGTAGAAAAAAGACATTTTATAGCAAGCTAAAAACATTTTAAAAAAATATTAAATCAACAATTAGGAAACGTTTACATTTTCAGAAAAATAAGCTATAAATTACTATATTAATTATCATTATTATTATTAATAGTTTACTATTAATGAAAAAGAACATTATTTAAGGATAATATAAGAGATTAACAAGTAAACATGACTATGGACTTGAAAAAAAAACTCACAAGACGGTAAAAAATTAATTGATTCACATTATTTTTTAGGGTATATCAGAAATGTCACTGGGTGGGTTTATTGAAAATTTAAGACTTTTAGTAGCAAAACAGCCGCGCAGCGAGTGTTTTTTTCGAAATTTTAAAACAATCGGCAAAAAATTTCCAATCTTAGAAAATAATATTTCCAGAATCATGTTACTGACTACTCTGATTAAAATTTTATGATTTGAAAATCTGAGCACATTAATTGATTTTTCCTGAAAACCGATTAAGACATTTTTTCCTTGTTCATTTTATCAATTGATCTAAATTTTTAGATTGATGATTTAAGGTGCAAATATTCATATATTTACCAAATTTAACTATATTATGAAATATCACCTATTAAATATAAGTATTTTTAATTGTATAGTGGAATCAAATGATTAAAACCTTTGGTTATAAAGCTGTAACGTTTTTTAGTTCGAGATAGTATTAATGCAATTATGGTGCCCACTAAAAATTTAGTGTTATTCACTGCTGTTCATATAATTTTTCTAATAATTTCATTGGATTTGTTACATTTTGTATACTTATGATATGATAATTTGATTCAAAATACGTTGTGTAAGTAAACATAGAATTTATACTTTTCTGAAGTTAAATTGATTATTTTTTTGTTTAAACTTTATTTATTTCAAAATAAGTATAAAATGTATTCTTAGTAATTTAAGCTTATTAAGATGATAAAATTGTACTAATGTTTTATAACGGGTAAGTAAAATTAACTACAAAATAAGCTTATTTTTATTTGACTTAATTTTTTTTAAATGCAGTTAAAATTTTCATATAGGAAAACTGAAACATATAATTTCCAAAGAAATATATTTACATTTTTGAATTCACCGCTGTTGAAAAACAATGTAAATATTTAATAGATAAAAATAATTTTTTTTCTTGTGTCAAAAAATTAAATTAATGTTATATTTTATTAATAAAATATTACACTAAAATATATTTTGTTTGAAACAAAATAAGTTGGTGTTATGTAGTATAATCAATTTTAGGTGATGCTCAAGGCCCCCAAATAATAAGTTTATGATCGTTTTTTGCTTATAATAGATAAAAAAGTCACATAAAACAAATTTGAAGGGTAATCATAAAGTTAACTTTTTTATTGTCCAACTATATCATGACCATCATATTTATAAATTCAGCCCTTAATATAAGGAAAAAATTATTTATGGATTTTATTAACTTGCATCTAGTATTAACTATTTTTTTTTCATAGTTTGCACTTGTGTCATATATGAAAATAAAATATAGAAATTTCACCAATTTTTTACACAGTGGTCAATTAAGGATAAGACATTTATTTTCTTAGAAACTTATAGGAATTAAAAATATTTGTAAATAGAAAAATTACTTGAGTAAAAAAATTTAATAATTAATATGACAGGATATATATTGCATTATTATTTATTAATTGAGTCATAAAAAACTTCTTAATGCATTAATTAGGAGTATTATCAATAAGAAAGTTTCATTGAATTGATTAAGACATTTTTTTTTTATAACAAATATGAATTATAACAAGTAGTTCACTTTATGGTTAAAACTTAAAAAGTTTTTGTACATAATTAAATAATAAAATTAAATAAGAATATTCCTCAAATATTAATGTTTATTAAAAAATGTAGATTATTTTCTTAATATAAACGATCAATTGTCTTGAACTCCAAAAAGCAAAAGTACTGCTATCAGTTTTTTTGTAATAATATTTTTTAACTTAGTTTTGAACATTATGTATCTCTTCCTAGATATATTAAATTACAACTAATGTTTTAGGCTCTATTCCTAGAGTTGTTGTAGAATGCATTTCTACGAAAAAAAAAAAAAATAATACATTGATTTATTTTAAGATTAATCAATAATAATAAATTACAACTAACTATTTTTAATTGTTTCAGGTTTTATTATCATCTGAACAATTAATTTGAGTTTACTTTGGAAAATTGCTCTTAAATTTAAAAAATTAAGAATATTATGCAATTTAATAGATTTCAAGTTCTATATTGTAAGCCCAATTTTAACATAAATTAATTGATATAAGATAATACAACACAGTGTTTAGTTAAAAAACTTTGAGTAGTGAATTCAACATCTTTTTCTATTCAAATAATTTTTAAATACAATACCAGAAAATATATGGTTGAAAAAATGTTGTATTCACAGAAAAAACTAATTTTTGTATTTTAAATTATTATAGATTTAAGATTGCATGGACCGACCTTAACGACTAATGTCTGAAAATGTTTGTATTGACTATTTATTAACGCCATTATCAAATAGTTAATAGTGAGTAAAACTATAACTATTTTTGAATACTTCCAAGCATAATATTAAGTTTTCCGAAAATTTAAGAAAATTATTAGTAATGTAGTGTAAAGTATATTTTAATGAGGGGCTAAAAAAAATTTATCAAACACCTCCGCCTTTTATTTAATTATGATGAGAAGCGGTAAATGTTGCTCCGCGAATATTTTTCTAAATATTGGCTTGCACACATACATTTAGTTTGACATAATTATATATAATATTTTTTTTATTAACTGAATTTATTTTCTAGATCAATAATGGTTTTTAAAAAAACAGATTTATGAACAATTTGGTAGGTAATATCTTTTAATTCTTATTCTGGTCTACCTTATGTTTCTGACTAGTCATGTCTGATTTATGTATTCGCCAAACAGTTTGATGACGACCCTCACCTTACAATTTTTATAGGTGTCATGAAAGGTACAAATTTTCCGTTTGACCAAAACTGAATTTTATTTTTCGTAGTATTTTTGTGTTAATATTTGTACATGACAGAAAACTTGTTTACATTTTAACACATAGCTTTTCTTTATTAATTAAGTTAACGAAGTACCTTGATTAAGACTTATAGCTGTTAAAACTTTAAATTACATTTTCTTCGAGTAAACTTTTGTTACTTGGATAAATAAAAATGTTTTTTGGCTAAGATAAATAATAAAAAAAAAAAAACTATTTACACGTGTACTCAGTTATTATTTTGGAAATAATTTTGCTCAAAAATAGCTTTAAATTACAAAATTAAATTTCAACTAACTTATTAATTAAAGCGCTTTATAGTTTTTTATAATTTATATTAATTGTTCTCTTATTTTATTCTGTCGGATTGTTTACAAATATATATTTAAAAAAATAAAGAATGACGGAATGTTTCTCTTAATAAAATAAATTTAGTATATAGTATTTCCACTAAAATACTTGGAAATTTTAAGAGCATATTGTAATGAACAAATGTAAGGAATGTTCTTTCAGTGCTAAAATTGGTCGTGTGTTATTCACTTTAAAATCAAAGAGAGGATTTAATGTTTAGTTGTTTAATATTAAATTGGTTTAGTTTTACAAACTTTCTTATGTACCTGAAAAAAAGTTTATCGAGTGATCCTTATTTTCGCGCCAAAAGAGTTAACTATAACTGCGTCCTTGTACTATGTATAATTTATCAACTTTGAACGGTTGGAGTTGAATGGGATTTGGAGTGCAAAAGTTTTAAATGCATTCATACACTACTAACTACGATAAAGTTCTTCGTAAAACGTATAAACTCATGTATTATCTAATGTATTTTTGCTTTTTGAACCGAATTTTTGTGTGTGGGCTCAGATCGCCATAAAAGTTATGTTTAAAAACCATGACCAACTTAGCTCTGAGTTTTGATGTTTACTTTTTTCATACAAGTTGAGTCAGGACCAAGGACGTATTCGAAAGGGACAAGCGTCTTCCATGTTGTTACAGACGTATAAAATTATAAGCAATAAATTGTTTTATTTGTAATTTTTTTTTTATTATTTATCTTATCAACCTTTTTTATTTTACTTATATTTACGTTTAAATTTTTCCGCATAATTTACTGCTTTTCAAAGAACTGGTGAATTTGTACAGCTCGACGTAACAGAATTGATGCCGATAGCTACTTATCGAGACGAAGTTAGGTCTTAACGACCTAACTGCTGCTTACTGAATCGAAAATTAGGGTAAGGGTTCAAACTTGGAATACGACAATTAGTCAAAAATGTTGGCAAGTGATCGCACCTTTGAAGAATATTGCAGAAAATGAATACGAATTGGATGGTAAAGGTTCGAATTCGTATCTATGAGAAGTGTATATTTTACTTAAGTGCCATATCAATTTGTTGGGCAAACAACTTTTTACTTGGTTATTAAATTAAATTACAAATTACTCGATAGATTGAGAATTAAACTACATAAAATTTACTTAATGTAACTTCTAATAAACATTAAACGAACAACGTGACTATTAATTTGATGTTAAAAAAGTAACTTCATCACAGTGGAAGTATCTTTTTTTTATTTATATGTTAAATATAAAATTATATCACAAATACACATAATCTTTATTATGAAATTCCTTTCAAGGGCATATTTAGAAGTTCATAATTTGGGTGTAATAAACTACTTAATAAAACCAACAGTTATTTATTCTTTAGTTTCAATAAAACATCTACACGTATATAACTGAACAATAATCATTGTATTTACATTATTTTAGTTAACTGTACTAAAATGTTTATTATATTTATTACATTGTTATAGTAACTAAATAATAAATATTTTCAACAACGTAGTAAATATGTTTAACAAAATCTCATTTGTGGTATCAGCAAATCACTAAGTTACATTAAGCATACACATTCATACATATGACAGTTTTTCGATAACTGTTACAATTTGACAGTTAACAAAACGGGTTTGTTAAATATAAACCTCATATTTTTTTCAGTGTAGGGACAACAAACTTTCAAGTATTTTAAACTAAAATGAATAAGAAAAAGCAGATATTTTTACACTATCATTGCCAATTAGGGGCAAATACGGGCTCCAATTATTCCTCTAATTGCATACTATTTTCACTATGTTCATTTAATTGAATTAAACAATATTAAAATTAAAGTGTAAATTAGGATGAACAACTAACTTTCAATTGTTTTCTGAGTAATTAGGTTTCTTTTTGAAGTGGTTTTGTTATTGATATTAAACCTGTTAAGCCTTTTCACGCGTCCGATTACGCTTATGTGATTTTTTATCATGTGATATCGTGTTTTAATCCTTTTAAAATATTTACGGCTTCAAATTTATTGAGCCCATGAGTTTCAGTGCAGATCCTTTGACCAAATAACCATATGGTTTCTTCTTTTAATAAAATATAAAATAATATAACTATTGTTACATTATTTTTATAATATAAAAGTAACTTCCTTGCAATGAATATTTGTTGATTTTTATACTAAATATAAAATTGTTTGCAAAATAAAAATATAAGAGCAAAGTCAATATAAAATTAAAATATATTTTAATTGGACAGTGTAACTTCAGCTGGGTAGAGGCAGCCTTAACAACCATAGGCGTAATTTGAATAATTGTTTGTGAGATCTAACTTCATTTTTCCTTTTTCCAATAATTTCTAAATTTATATGTAATTTTCATCATTTTTGGGGTGTTTCGACAAAATTATGCGGGTCTTATCTTCCTCAAGACGCTCACAAAATTGCATCTATGTTTAGAGTTGTTTAATTTTTCTTTTGAATTTAGAGCGTGTATGGTGTTTTATACAAATTGTTTCACTGGCGTAATTATGAGGGGAGGAATTACGTTGTTAGGGATGGTAATTATTAGTTGATAAATCAAGAAATATATTCAACTAAAAGAANCCCTCAAAAACCTCACAAAATGCATCTATGTTTAGAGTTGTTTAATTTTTCTTTTGAATTTAGAGCGTGTATGGTGTTTTATACAAATTGTTTCACTAGCGTAATTATGAGGGGAGGAATTACGTTGTTAGGGATGGTAATTATTAGTTGATAAATCAAGAAATATATTCAACTAAAAGAAATCAAATTTTTTTTTCCAATATTGTATGTATTTTGCGAGTAATCGATTTGTGATAAACCGATCAATGTGTATTTACTTACTGTTGTCGTTTTTTACTATAAACACTATTTTATTAATTCATAAAATGATGTAAACTTTTATCTGGTTTGCATTCAGTTGTTGTAATTTGATTTAATAAAATAAAAATAGGATAACAGAGAAAAAATGTATAGTAATATTACACGAATTTACCACTTATGCGACGTACAACATTATTGTTGTGTTAGGTTTGTAATAGAAACAATAACTGTATTAAATAAATTTAATTCGGTTATTAATGTACATCGATTTAATAAAATAATAGTAATAACTATAACAATAATAATTACAGCAAAAGCAGAAAAAAAGTCTTGTTGTAACGTTCATTTGCACTGCCACTAACAATATTTCTAAAACAGTCTAAATACGCGGCAATATCTATTGTAAGGCATTTCACGCCAAATATCTGCTGACATACTATTACTCAATAGGAACATTTGATTCCTTTTTGGCATTCTTTTCAAATAATTACGGCGCTTTTTATTCAAATGTATTTTATTGAACATTTTTATTCGTTTTTCTTCAGAGTGTTTTCATTGAAATAGACTACAAACAAATATGTTATATTTTATTCGAATTCTGCATGCATTTACATGGTTAATTAATTCTTCTGAGTATTTTAACGTTAAATACATAGGTGATATGAAAAATGATTTATACATTTCTATCTTAACTTAAAATTATTAGTCATTTTATAATCTTATATCGAACGTTTTTTATGTAGATAGTTGTACTACATGAGATTCGTCAGATCGTTTCATTTGGTACATAGTTCAATAAACATATTAGTGATTTTTGTCAAGTTATTTTTCATCGTGTCACATTAAAATTATCATTATCATTTTCTGACATGAAACCAAATACAGAAAGTGATTATGAGGTTTCAAAAGATAATCGTTACCCATGAATATTTTGCAAACGTTAAATAATATTTTTAATTGATTATCTATTCAAGTCATTACTGCTGAATGTCATACCTTAGTCGGGGAAGGTCCATTTAATTCAGTAACCAGTAGCATCCCCCCGAAATCCATAAAATTAATATCTCGCTCTAAAATGAGTTTCATTTCCTTATTTAAATTACAATAGGCATTAATATAAAAATGAGTAAAAATTTATATTCAATTTTCAATCAAAAACGTTATTAAATAAAATATTATGAGAACATAAAAAGTTATGAACATTCAGTGAATACATATTATATTTCTTTTTGCGGTCAGCCAATTAAATGTGTAAAAACTAGTAAAAATTTTTTAACTTTACTGTTTAATGTCAACCATAAAGAATCGTTGGTAAAATATGAACATACATAGGGAGCTTTGATTGCGCCAATAATTTCTATTGAAATGTCGAATTTATCATTACTTTGGGTTTAGGACGTCAAATAGAGAACACTCGGTGTCTGCTTTAATTGTATATTATGGTGTAACTTGTAAATTTAAAAATACAATAGACAAATGAAATTTGTAAACTTACTGTTCTGTTGATTTATTTTTATGTGTGATTGATGTTTGACAGTACAATCCAACGCGGATTGTAAAAAACATAAAATTTTTATGGAAGAAGCGCCTACGTAGTAGCGAATGGCGAATAATCGTTACAATATATCGGCGGCGAAAGTTTTGGACGTGGCGGTGTCGAATGCACACGATCAGAGTACCGCCGTGTCACGGACGTGGTCGTCTACTGTGTGTGTGATACGCGGCAGGGCCCTGGAAAAGCGAGAAATTACCACCGCCCCGCCGCGGTCGCCCGCACACCCGTTGCCGCCACCGCGGTCGTCCGCCCTTCTCTCCGCTGTCGTTTGAGCCACCGCTGCCGCCATCGTTCCAACCAAATGCTCAACTGTGGACCGACACAACATCCTTTTCGTTATACAGATATAATGTGCACGTGATCCGAATGTTTTTTGGGTCAAACCGATCTTAGCTCAGCCAGATTTAACAACAAGATAAATTGAGATGAGATTAACTGCCATTTCCTTTTACACTCCATGTTATTCGTTAATTTTATTTTTCTATGGCGCATCACTTATACGGATGAACCGTGGAAATTTATTGAAAACTTAGAAGACTATTTCCATAGGTTCTGACGTTTTCAAATCCCCCAGCGTTAACCTGTCTAAAGTATCACGTACTCGTCACCCTACAGCAGTTATTTTACGTTTTTTATTTTTTTGAAATTGTACTAAATCACCTACGTCTACCTCATTTTTTGACACCCGATATTCGTTATTATTTACATAGTGTACACGTGACATTCATCATTTTTCCAAGCATCGCATCGTAATTATTCTCCACGTAATAACTTTCAACTATCTAGTGAAACCTCAAAATAACCATCTCCTGTTTTACTTAAAAATATATTAAATGTTCAATGTAATAATTCTATTGTAACAATCATAATTCCGCATATTTTCCCGAGCACTCTAATTTTTGCTAATCTTATTGTAGAGAAATTAGATTTTTTCTTTTTTACACGTGATTCTTTTCATAGCTCTTCGTCAATTATTAATTTGATTTACACTTTTGATGATATGTTATAATTTTGTTACTGTTACTGTTTATTGATACTTTTGTTATTATTTGTCATGTACATATTTAATATTTCTAATGTTATATTTGCACTGTAAAATATGTTTTTCTAAAAGGTTCTTGTACCAGTTAAAATTAAAATAAATAAAACCGTAACTCGTTGAAAAGCGAATAATATAGAATAATTTTTTAAACAAAAAAAGTTGTTCAAATGAACAATAGTTCTGATGATATTAGAAAATAGTTGCCATTTGAAAATCAGAAGTTCATACGATTGTGTATACAAATGTGTTAGGGAAAGTAACAGATTTTTTTGTGTAAAGCTACTCAATGAAGAAACATTATTGTTAAAAAATCAAATCATGGTCAATTCTAAGAGTTTCGTCAGTCGTAGTTAAGGAATCATAATATCGTTCAATTTTAGATCTTATCAATGTTTTGAACTTAAATTTAATATAGCAGATATGTTTTTTATTTGATATTGCTAAAATTCAAGAGAATATGAAATTATCAATTTTATATCCATATATTATAAGAAATGAATTCGTAATAATAAATCTGTTCTATTATTATGATGTTCAATAAATGCTTATTTGTTCGATATCTAGATGAGTTACTCTAAGTGTTCAAGCAAGCGAGTTAACTTTTTCTTAAATATTTAAAATGAATTTTATCAAGTTTAGATTAAATAGATAAAAACATCTACTAATATGTTTCCGTAAAATATTTTGATTTTCAGTCTATTTTCAGCGTTTATTTGTAAAAGTATAGTGTAAACAAGTTTTTAAAATACTATATTTAATTATAGAAAACTTTATGAAAAGTTTCGAATAACATAACTCATATTTTTTTTTTAAATTACACTTTCTCTACAAGCACAATATGATGTATTATATTAGTTTGAGTTGTCCGAGAAACAAATTAGCAATAAAACAACCCTCGAAGTAATTAGTCTGTATGGAAAGTAACTTTCTACTGAAACCACTAATACATCATCATATTATGCATTTATAACGAGGTCTGCGTTAATGCGGATAGATTATTATTTGTTTACAACTGTTGAAATCGTTCAATAATGCAATAAGGACTTAGGCAACCACGATGTGGAAGGTTACCATGTATATGATAGATTATTATAATTATTCCTAGTGAACATTTTCAATCGATGTATATATTATTTCTTAATGAGCATGATTCTCAATTGAAAAAATACTATTTGTAATATCTATTTTTATGTAAATAAATTCTCGATTATAGAAGACCTGATAATATATTTCTCGATTAAATTTACATAAATTGATGAGAAAATTTACTGAATGAGAAAATTTAATCACATGGGTTTGAGTATTCCCAAAGCTGTTCTAAGAGTGGATGTGATAAATATATCTTGTCGTTAATTAATAATAGAAGAGGAAGAATTTTTATCAAAAAAAAAAAGGTTTAAATAATGGTCTTAAGATTAAAGAAAAAATTATTCAGTGGGTAAAAATAATTTTTTCACCTGTTCCTATATTTTTAGGCTTAATACTTTATCTGGTAAAAATATTTCCTAAAATTGAACTTATCTTTTCAAAGTAGAATAATTTTAAATGAGATAAAAAAATAAATAAAAGTAAAGCAGTGTTCCACGGTCACGCTGAAAGTTTGATAGATTTAGTAGAAATGGCAGTATCTTGTAATCCAAATCTGGTTCGCATGACTAACATTAATAACACCTGGTGTCTGTATAAAACTTTCATCGAGATAAATGTGTTTAATGCGGTGAGAAAGACAAACGTAACTGTAGCATTAAACTACAGTTTTTTTAACTTCAATGATATTTAAAATGTAAAATAAGTATGGCGAGACAAAGGGGTCAGTTATAAATTCTGGAAGGTTCCTTTATTATAAAATTTGCTTATTCAACCTTAATTTAATAAATTACATATTATAATAATATTACATTATTCCTCATACTTCCTAAATCTTTCTGAATATTCACATAATAATGAATTTCTTATATTATTTCTCGGCTTATTAATTTTTTATATAATTGTAATTTTAAGTAATATTAGCCACGAGTGATCGATTTTTATTATATATATTTTTTAAAAAGCATATAGGTTAGGTAATTGAGGGTTTGAAATTTTAAAGAAAACCCCGAACATTTCTTCAATTATTAATTTTGAACTATTGAAACGTTTATTCCCTCCCTTGTCATATTACTTTATGGATTATTTTTAATTTTTGTATAGAGACCCTCTTGAATCATTTTTGAAACCCTAATGAAATAATCCCTTTTCATTATTACTATGGAATTCTTCTTATCTGATTTTAAATAAAAGTAGTTTTTATTTTTTAGATTTTTAGTCGTACATTTTTTTCACTTTTTCCTTCTTTATATACTACACAATTTTAACACTACCTTCTTGTTAAGTTTTAATTATTAAAATCAACCCGATTTTAATACCTATTAGAAGATCTTCCAAAATATTTATCATAGAAAATATGTTTTTTACATTATTATTAATTTAAAACTACTAAAATAAAGTTTAAGTATAATAATTATTATTGTACTCGATGTAAAATTATAAATATTTTTTTTTATATAGCGAGTTGTAATTGTACTTTTGGATATTATGATAATAAATAAATAAATCAAAACATAAAATACAATTTAATATATTAAGCATATTATTTACATAATATATAAATTGTATTATGTACATTATAATATACTCAACTAAAATTACTTAGTGAATAATGTAATTATCTTAAATTTTTAAATAAATTAATAATAAAACTATATTGGCACTAAGTAACAAACTATATATGGCTAAAAAACCTTAATAAATTCAACTTTCTTGTTTATTTTTCCAATAACATATTGTCTTTTTTTTAAATTGTCTAAAAAAATTATTTAATTTAAATAAAAAAATATTATGTAACAATAAAATACACTACTGTAACAAACCACATTACTTGTTTTTTCAATTAAATTTTTCGTTTTCCGAGTATTTTCAATTTCTTGTGATAATAAGTCGCACCTTTTTATTAAAATGTTTTCCTCCAATTCTTTAGCTGTAATAATATAATAAAAATTTATTTTTATTTTTATTGTTTGTTAATAATAATATTAAATGAGCAAAAAAGGTCTTCTGCTTGTAACTAAGTTACTGACTGAGACTAAAATTGACAAAATTGCCGAACATATTATTGTAAATAGTTGTTTTGGAGGTTTTTCAACCCCATTTTCTACTATGATACTAACCTATCGGTTAGTAAATAACATTTAGTTCATTTTAGTTCCTGCGCGCAAATTGAAAAAAAAAAATTAAAATATAATATATTTTTCAAATCCCGCTAAAATTCAATCTACAACTATATTTTTGCACTAACAATAGAATCTAGACGAGAATGAAAAGCAAGAAAGGTCCTTAAAATAAATTTAATTTATTCATCAAAATTTAAACCTACTTCAAAGATTTCTTTGTAGTTTGTCAATTTCAAGTTCAAATATTTGACATGTATTATGAAATTTCTTTTTTAATTTGATTTCTAGTTTTTCTTGTCGATCCATCTGGAAATGAAAATTATATAAAACTAATATCGATTCTTATACCAAAAAAAATGAATTTTTCATGCATTTTTTTACTTAAAAATACCTGTTTAGATAAAAGTTTATTGAGATATTGATATTGTTTCTTGAGATCTTGAATTGTATCAGCCCATTTTCTTTCAGATTGAATTTTTACTTCAATTATTATTTTTTCTTTTTCTATCCTTCATTTATGAACATCTTTTATTGATACATAATCTTTATTTATTTTTTGTTGAATTTATTTTAATAATTCTATAGATGAATAATTGGATTGATTAGTATTAACATTAACAGTTAACAATTAAATTTTTTCTAGGAGTTAAACTTGTTTATCTTCTTCCATTTTAATAATTTCTTGTAATTTTTTAATCTATATTTATATAACCGATCAAATATCATTAAACAAGTTAATATACTTTCTATTTTTAACTATCAGAAAAAAGAGAATAACAATAATAAGAAATATTCTCATGCTGTTAATTTGATTATTATTGAAATTAGAAAAATATGAGATAAATTTAATAATATAAACAGAATTTTTTTAGACTATCTTTTTTATGATTATAATGTAAGAAAAAATCAAAAATAAATTTTGAGAAAAAATAAATATGCACTATTAAATATTACTTTTATTTAGTTAAAAAATATCACTATAAATTAAAATGAAAATTTAATTTTAAATTAGTATAAATCTATCCAAATAAACTTACTTGTTTAGGTTTTTTTTGCTGTTATAGCTTACTGATGGTTAAAATTTAAAAAAATGTAAACAATAATTATTTTAAGTAAAATATACATAAATTTCGCATAATTATAGATTAGACATCTGGATAAACCAAATCTTCACATAGGCGTTAACTTCCATTGTTCAGTTGCTCTATGAGCTGAAACAATGCATTGTTTTTTAAAAATATGTCTTTAATATTAATATAAATAGAAAATACTTCTGAGTTGATTTGTTTTAATTATTGATTTTCAGCAACTAAATTTTTATTTGATAATTCGAGGGACTCAATTTTATTTAAAGCATCAGTATAATTAATGTCCAACTCATCTATTTGACTTTGTAGTCTCTTATTATTTTCATTTTGAAAGAATATTTTTTGTTCAATATTTTCTAATTTATATTTGAGCAGTTTCTTTGTTTCTTTATATTAATTGGTTCTTGTAGCATGATTACCTTAATAATTGCATTATTATCATTATTATTAATGGTGACTCGTTTCAGATAACATTTAATGGCTTAGTTTTCTAAAATTAAATTGATAAATAATTGTATAAATAGTCTTGTCAACGGTTTTCAATTTAATTATATTTTATTTTAAACTTAATTTTTTAGTTAACAATAATTAACGTTAACATTAAAAATAAATAAATATAACAATAGAATATACTATGTTATATATATAGTTAATTTGTTTTTTTTTCAACAAAAAATAAGAAAATTGTTGTTAAATATTGATTTTCTTAATGAAAATATCTCACTTTAAAACGGGGGTCCTGAGTTTGATATCAAGTCCCTGAAAATTGTATTTTTATTAATTACAGGTATTTTAATAAATTCAAAATATTTCACTTCTTATTTTCTCCAAAAACCCTCAATTAAACATGGTTTTCAAGTATTAGAACTACAATAACAAACTTTTAACAAAAGTTAGTTAAGTAATTAATTAATCATATTATACACATGTGATGCCGTAAATTGAAGACATCTATTTTTCGAAATAAATTTCTCATATAATATTTTGAAATATATACCTACAAAGCATGTCTTGTACGCTGGGGAGTTCGATAAATAACTTCATGACAAGTAGAAAAAGTTATAGCATTTTCAGAATTAGAACTTTCGGACTCCTTATTTGTAGGTGTTTTACCTAAAGTAAAGAAATTAATGAATAGAAGAATTAATAATGTACTTAACAATTAAAAATTTGAATAGTGTAATATATTATTACTAGCTGAGCTTCAATTAAATCAATTTCTTCTTGATACCTTAAATATTTAATAAAATTCAATGTATCATAGTAATATATATAATTATAATAGAAATCAATAATAAATAATTAAATTAATATTTTTTGTTTAAATGTTTTATGGATACTGAAGATTTGAAAATTAATGAAATGAGTGGTTGCCATAGTTGTAAAAAATACTTTTAAAAAGTATTTTAAATAATACTCAAATATTTAAAAAAAAATGTATTTAAAATACTATTTGAATACTTTTCATACAAAAGTATTTAAGTAATACTCAATTACTTTACAAAAGTATTTTAAATACTAAGAATACAATTAAAAAATAATAATAATGTTTTTATTTTAACTAATAGCAAAAGGTTCCACCTAAATAATTACCAAGAGGGTAATTTGAGTCAAATATTGAGTACTCTTAAATTAAGAGAACTCATTTATTATTTTCGATATTTTTTGTTAGAGGTAAATAAAATTAATTATTGGAGACTAATCAGTGAAAAAAATAAATATTAGTACACGTGTAAAAACCTGTAAAGTATGTCTTATTGACAATAGAGTAAATCATTTGAACCTGCAATAGGCTATTGTAGGTTCAACTGATGTATTAAAAATAGATGTATACATAATAGCATTTAGATAAGCACAATAATTATGTTATACTATAATGTAACATATAAAATAACAGAGAATTATTCTCAATTTTCATTTTGACTGAGTTTAATTTGCTTGCTGTGTTACGGTTAGCAAATTAAAAAAAAAAAAGTATATTAATAAATTATATTAGTACTGAATATTAAACAGTATTAAATACTAATTAATTGTATTTAAAATACTACTCAGATACTTTTTATTAAATGTATTTAAAAATACTATTCAATACCAATGAAAGTATTTGAATACTTTTATTCAAATACATTTACTCAAATGCTTTACGCCTTTGGTGGTTGCATACATTTATTTTATAAATGTATTGTACCAATTATAGTATTATATTATTATTTATAAATACCAAATTTCAATTCCATTCAATTTTTTTTTTTAATTATGCTATGAGTATGCAAAATACAAATATATAGTTACTATAGCATACAAGTATTTCGTATTTTATTGGATTTGTTTTTCTTAAAATGCGATATCTAATTTTGAACTTTCAGGATTATCGTTTCATGTTAATAAGTTTACTTAAATTATTTGCTTATTTAAAGAAGAATTTTACTTGAATGTCTTTCAAAGTCTTATTAATGAATAAATTTAAAGAAAATTCAAGTAACGCAGTTTCTTATAACCTTGAAGTCTTTAGAAACATTAAATGGACATTATATTATTTCTAATGGATTACGAATCTTAAACATTATGAGATCAAATAGTTTATTTATTTCGTATTTAAAACTATGTTGAAATTAATTTTTGTTGCTGGGATATTATTTTTTAGATTAAAAATTTGGAATTTTCTTTTGTAAAATAAAATATGATGTTATTTTTAAGAGGTTTAGAATTTTGAAAGATTGTATGGATAATTAAACATGATTGAATTAAAAAATAAATTGTAGTTCTAAATTAAGAATATGTATATTACCTGTTATTGTCAGATTTACTGTTATTTTTAATTATTTGCTGTATAATTTTATCACATTTTTAATGAGAACTGTACCCGTAATGACGACTTTTATCTTTAACATCTAAGTGTAATTCATCATGCACTTTTGGTATACTCATTGGTATTAAACCACTTCGTTTTGAATGTAAACTGTTATCACTTGGACTGTCTAAATTTTTTTGTAATCTTTCATCGTCAGTATTTAACTCCAAACATAATGATTTTGATTGCTTATGTTCATGTAACATCTCAAGGGTTTCATTAGTAACATGTCCATTAAAAGATTTACTTCTTCCAAATGATGAATGAGCAAAATTCATTTCAGAAGCAAATCGTTTCCTATATGAGACTATGTAGTCAACTAAATAGTCTCTAATGAAGTATTAGATTTATTTCTGATTTAAGGAACTTAATTTTATAAATGCAAAAGTTTTGATTCTTACTAGAAATAACGATTGATAAAATAATATTTAATAAGACATGATTGACATCATTCACTCGAATCATTTTTATTTAAAAGCTTACTTCTGGGTATTTTAATATTAAATTTTATTTAAATACATATATGTTTATATAATTATTTAAAAACGAATATTAATTACCAGGGATATGAAGATTTTCAAAAAAAATAACCCTGTAGATTAAAATGTTCAACAAATTAAATTTATTAAGCTAAGATATTTTCAATGTGTTTTAATGAAAACATTGAAGAGTACAATTAACACATATTGATTAACTAACATTTGAAATAACTGGTACTCTATTTTATAAATAATCAATTGTCAACCATAAAATCCTTTTAAACAAAGTTTTATTGTTTAGATTCCATTTTCATTAATAAACATGTACGCGTAATTATTCAATACAAGTAGTTTATAAATATTATATAAAACATATCTATTAATTAAAAACATATCTTAATAATGATTATAATTGGTCCTATTATTAAGAACTTCATAATTATTGTTTTCTAATGTTAAGTTTTGGTGAGCAAAAATATGAAATATTATTCAAGAAATAGGTAATTATAATTTTTTATTAAAATAGAAAATGAGTAGTTTTATGTTGGTATTCTTTAGCCACAAATTGTCGTTTTCTAATAAACTTTATAGAATCATAATACACATCTCATATTGAGGTTTGATTGAGGTGTTATAATATGATACAACTTTTAGTATTTTAATGACAGAAAACGCTTTTACAAAATAAATAAATTAAAAATAAACATGTTTTTGAAAAGTGATTCTGTCTTCCTTAACTTTGATCTAAGTAAAAGTAAACTGTATTTTATTCTTGTAAACTAAAGTTTTCGTTTCACAAAAGCGTGCAATTAAATTTAGGTCTCGCAGTTCACACATAAATACATTATGTACAAGTAACTTTGAGGGCACTAATATCCAAATAAGTTATATTTTTAGTTGAATTCAAGACTGAGCAATGTATAAATATATAAAAGATAATTTTTTTTTCAGGAAATCACATTTTAATGTATAAATGTATGAACTTACAAGCGGTACTTATGAGTACAAACTACAAACCATTTTCCTACTCATCAATAGACATGTCAAGATTTGATGGTATTGCCGAAGGAAATTTTGGTTCAGCTGGACTACTCATTGAATCTCAGGTTGAATTCTTCATGTCCCTAACACAAACTGATGTGCTATATCAGCCATAACATTATTTTCAAGTAAGTTTGTTTTGAAGAAATAAATCCTGCTAAATACATTTTTTTTTTGTATCGTAATTAAAAAAAAACCTACCTCTGTTAACAAAAATAAAGGTAATATTAATTATTTTAACAAAAAACACTTCACAGAAACAAATGAATGTATTCGTTATGTATATAATATAAAAGTTCTTTTAAAAAATTATTATTAAGGTCACAAGTTACATAAAAGTACAAGAATTTAACACTTTAAATTATAATGAATGTTTACATTGCAATTACCTTAGTAATTAATATAGTATTCATTTAAAAAATAATGTTTTTAACAATGTCTAGACCTTCAAAATGTTTTAACTTAAGTTTAAATACGATCCATTCTTGAATATATATTCTAAACATTTATATACAGAATGGCTCAAACATAAATGACAACGCTTAAAATGTTTGTAAATCTATTATTTTGTTGAAATAATTTTTTTAAAATAATTATTGCCTTCTTATATTACGTTTAAAGTATATTTTTTATTATTTAACACTATTAAAATAAACATGTACAGGAGAGTACAGTTCATAATGGTATAACGCATGCTCTATTATATCACTTAATATATTAAAATAATTGTAACTTAATGAATACTTGTCCTAAAATTGATTTCGACCCATCATAAATTTTGTAAAAAAAAAAAAAATGATTAAAAATGGTTATATTGAAATTTTGAAAAAATATATTTATCATTTTTTTATTTTATATAAAATATGATGTTTAGACAAATCTCATGTATAAATATATATATCATGTATCTAATCAAATAACATAGAACTCTAAAAATATTAAATGAAATTCTTGTTTCCTTTTTGATATTGTACGCTTATATTTCATATTAAGTATAAAGTTAATCAAATAATGACCACCTAAAATATATATACTTTAATACAAGTTAAAATTTTTATACAAAGTACAATAATTACACCAGATATCGTATATCTGATACCAGTTAATTAATTATTAACTACAAACCTAACGGGAAGTTCTGTATTTTTCGGTTAATTTATTTTATGGTTACAAGTTTTTGACTAGTAATTTACTACTACTAAATTATATCTTTTTGAGATCTCACCGTAATTGTATAAACAAAAAGTTATTTATATCTTAGAAAACAGAATCAGATCTTATTGTAATATAATATATTGGCAAATTATTTTTCATCAAATATTGTACTAGTTATAAACAAGTGTATTATGTATAAAAGTTCCCTTTTTTCAATGTAAATATGATAACTTTGTTGTTAATAGCTTTTAATAATCTATCTGATGTCTATTAAAGGTTGGCATTATATTTAACGTTACATTGTGGTTGAATATTAGGATATATATCTTGAGAATTATTGGTCTCATTAACTAAAAATTGGAATGCTTCATTAATACCCAAATTATTTACAATATTTTTATTATTAATTGTAGCTTTTCCTATTAGGTTCATGACATAATTTAAAAATAATTTTAAGGGATTAAAATATACCATACAAGGCTGCTTTGGTTTCTAACGTTCTAAATTTATCAAATTATTAAAAAAAAAACGTGATCTAGTTTGAACAAGTAAAAAGGATATCTGATAGTAATTAACATCACTATTACAAAAACGCCTCGATGGTAAATTTCATNAACGTGATCTAGTTTGAACAAGTAAAAAGGATATCTGATAGTAATTAACATCACTATTACAAAAACGC